TAGCTCGGACCCTCTTTAGGGGTCCCAGGCTACGGTGTCGAGTGCTCCGAGCAAGCCTGCCGGCCCTGTCTCTTTGGAGTTGCGCGGCGGCGGTGCTTCCGGTTCGGGGGACCCGCTGGCCGACGTGCTTACGAAGCAGACGGAACTGTTGAAGCTGGCGCTTGAGAAGAAGCCGCCAAAACGTTCGACAATCCAAGTGACGCCAAAGGTGCAATGGCCAGTGTTGGATGATGAATGCTCGGACTTTAGGNNTTCTACGACCAGTTTGAGGCGACGATCGCCCTGGCCAACGATGGCGAAGGAATGTCGGACATGGAAACCTTGGTTACCTTGAAAGCCTGCCTGAGGCAGCACAGGCTGAAGTCTTACGAGCTGATCTACAAAAGGCACCTGAATGATGGCCTCCTGAAGAGGGACCCTGGAGCAGTGTACTCTGCGGTGAAGCAGAGGCATCTGCTGTTCGCCGAAACGAGGGAGGAGAAGGAGCTCCGGGTCCTGGATGATTGGGAGAGGCTTCACAAAGGGCGCTTGTCCGCGCACCAGTGGGAGGTGTTGTGGGAGGAGAAGCTCGGAGANNCGGAGAAAGAGAAGCTGTGGGCCTAGGCATGACTGCCCGAGAAAACCTGATCCAGTACCTGAGGAAGATCGGGGACCAGTTGTCACGAGAGGTTCGCAAGGACAAGCGTTACCGAGAAGGTGCGACTGGAGCGCGGGAGTTCCGAGGCGTGGCAACGTGGGAGGAAGCGCATGAAGTAGTGAAAGAGTATGAGGCTATGAATGCTGGGCAGAGAGCTCTCCAGAACTCCTCTCTGTCGGTGGGAGGTCCTCAGGATGCGAATTCGCCCGGGGACTCCACTGACAAGAAAAAGAAGAATAAGAAAAAGGGAGAAGGAGAAGCTGACAGCAGCATGCCTCTGGATGCTAACGCAATGAAGAAGAAAGTTTGCTGCTTGATGCGCGACCACGGGAGTTGCAAGCACGGAGACAGGTGCGAGTACAGCCACGAAAAGAGTCTTGTAGAAGCTGAGAGGAAGAAGAAGAAGGAAGCAGACAAGGCTAAAGGGAATGACAGCGCTGCCGCGAGTTCTTCCAAAGGTAAGGGAAAGAAGGACAAGGACAAAGACAAGGACAAGAAGGGCGGCAAGGGAAAGGGTGACCGGAAAGAGGCCTGCAAGCTTTGGCTGACAGTTCGAGGGTGTGACAAAGGGGATGCCTGCCCGCACAAGCACGACAAGGAGGCCAAACAGAGGTTCCTGGCGGAAATTGCTAAGGCAAGGGGTACAGGTGTCCATGGAGTGCAGCTTGCTACGACCGACGGGCCTACAGGGGTGGGTGCCTCGGCCATGGCGTGCGAGAACCCGTTTGTCTGTTTCGAGTCTGTGCCGTTGGAGGGCGGGCAGCAGAGGAGCGTTCCAGCCCCTGCGGCCGCTGACTCCATCGCGCGTGCTCAGCCTTCGCCCGCTCCGAAGGAGAAGAACAAGAAGACAGAGAAAGCGAAGGCAGGGAGCGACGTTGCGAAGGAGGACTTCAACAACATAGATGACTTGCCGAAGAGTTGGTTGGTTGACACGCCTAACTCTCGGGGAGGCTATCAGTACAAGACGGAGGTTGAAATCTTCGGAAGGAAAGTAGCCTGCGTGCTGGACACCTGCGCAGGGTGTAACTCGGTGACTGAGGAAATGGTCGTTGGAATGATCAGACTCGCCTTGAAAGCTGGGGTCCCGAGCAGCACGGAGTTCCCCGTGGCGGCTCTGGAGCGATGGGAGGTCCCAGAGGTGTGAACGGCCTGGCGAAAGACTCGCCGCTTCCGTTGAAAGGAGGCGTGGTGTTGCGGGTACGTCTGGTAGACAAGCGTCAGGGCAAAAAGTCCCGGGATATCTTGGTGCGAGCCAAGATCTTGGGGCGAGGTTCGTCCACTTGGCATGGGTTGATCGTAGGAGGAAGGGCCTTGGACTCGGCAGACAGAGGAGGCCTAGGGTTCCCCCCGGGAGCTACTGCGCACGTGTTGGAAGGTGGTCGCAAGTGGATGTCAAGGAGCATTGCCTCCTCCACACGGCGATCCGGCTCTCTGCGAAATAAATCTCGCAAGAGCTGATCTTCGGCTTCTCCCGGCTCTGGCGCCGGGGAAGTCCTCACACGGACGCCGGCAGGCACGCCACGGCGAGGCCGCTTGCCCGAAAGGGCTAGGCCTCATCCTCGCAGAGCCTGTCCGTGGATGCCGGGCACGTTGGGACTTGGGCGGAAGTGGAGCTGGAAGCAGCGACCGAAGGCCTAGAGGAGCCCCGGCAAGGCAGGTGTGGTGTTGCCCATCCTCCTCCTGAGTTTGAGGCTACTCCAGGGCTTTGGCCGTTGGGCTCTGAGAAAGGCTTCGTGTTCCTGGAGGCTACGAAGGATCATGGGTTCGAAGTAGAGGCAGGCATGCCGGTTGCAGTGGTCTCTCCGGGGGTCGCAGTGCAAACGGCGTGCAGTGTCTGCGGAGCAGTGACTGCTGAAGCGTGGACGTATCCGGAGCTTTGCCCTCACGGCAAGGCCTGGTGCCCGAGTACTGTGGGAGCGAAGCTGCGAAGCTGGTGAAGGGAGGATGCCCGCAATGCGCGGCGGCTTCCGGTGCGTCGAATTCGCGCCCGGGGCGCCCGCGGAGCGGGGCAGCCCTCGCCTTCGCAGGGATTTGGGCCATGATTTCTTGGCTGACTCCGGAGGAATGCTTGGGGGATCATGTTTTCCACATCATGGAAGATGTGGGAGGGATGACACGAATGGCTGAGTCCCTGCCGACAGATGAGTGCTACTCTTTGCTCCGTGCGGACATGGGAGTGAGGCACCCCAAGGTCGACCCTCACC